TTTGGGATTTTTCAGTAATTCTTGTGCACCTTCTTAGTGTCTGGCGTCATAACATATAGAAGACTCATTTTGAGTCTTACCTAGATTCTTCAATTAGACCCTTCTTGATGAATTTCTGAGCCTATTATTAAGAAATATTAGAGACCAAGAACTGAATTCTGTTTGTGTTTGTTGCTATTAATGCTTTTGCTTCTTAGTTCTCTCAGTGGACAGAGAGTGAGGGAATCAGGTATATAATTTATCAACCAGTATCTAGCAATGAGTTATTTATAAATGTAACATCTATGTTAGCTCAAGATGAGTTCATAATGTTATCTCCAATTCTAATCTATGATCACATGGATTATTCTAGCTGGTTCTTTTTTTTAACCTATGAACTCTCAGTCAGATAGGGAGAATTCTAGCTCACACCATCCCCCGACATTTCCTTGGTTCTTCTAGTCCAGCTGAGTTATATCATATCAAAATCATTAACTGATATCCTCATGGGAAAGGACCCTATCAGTTAGAGTTCAACTAAAGTTCAGTTCATGTCTTACAAGCTCCATTCATTTCCAGTATGGCTTAGTTAAGTGACCATCCACCTTCCAGTGAGGTTGTTTCCTACATTTATAATATAGATAGATTGTCCTGTCACCTTCTAAATTCATACTGGGACCCTCAACATCGGAATTTCTTAGTGATTTTTTTAAAACATTTTCTTTCAAAATTTCTGTTGATCTTTCTTTTCTGCTATCAGATTTCGTTAGAGTTCATTTTTCTCTGAGTTTATTTTTTTTACCATCTTACCCTTTCTAATAGATTATATTAACTGTTTACGATCTGTATCTATGGAAATTATCTTTCTCTTGCCTGTAATCCTAGAACTTGAGAAAAACAAGGGGACAGATTATGAATTCAAAGCCAGCCTGGAAAATATAATGAGAAAAAAATGGTTTAAAAGATGCAATTGGATCCCTCTGGCTAGGATCTCATAACTACTAAATGCTGCAGAATCACTTTTCTCCTCACACAATGGCAAAGGCTTGAGGAGAAGGGGGAGGCTCTGCTTTGGAGGAAGGCATGCACAGCTGCGGGTGTGGATACAGGTTGCACTTCAAGAATATGAAGACAAACCAAAGTAAAACTCAAACCAACCAATCACAAAATTCCTCTTTCTGGGGACTATACATATGCATATATATATATATATATATATATATATATATATATATTCCTTTTGTCCATCTTAGCCTCTTTTCTTCACATTTTCTTGGCTTAACACTGCTCAAAATGAGACATTCTCGCATTTCTGGTCATCTTTGTCTCCTATTCAAAAGTTAGGGACACAGAATACAACTTTAGGCTGGCAGCTCCGAGGACAAGAACAAGTCATGCTGCTGCTGAGTTTCCTTAGAGGGCAGTTTGGAACCATGGTTGGGGAAGGCCTTCTATCCTGTTAAAGCTCTTTTGGGCTGATTCCCTGTTGAAGTGTCTTCCTGTTAGATTCCTAAAGCGTAAGCAAGAATATATGTTAGCAACTTAGCAGCCATGACTTTACCTGTTTGCCCTTCTTTCAGACCAGAGACTCTTCTGCTGTTTTCCCACCAGCACAGAAGCTGCATCTGAATCTACTGTAGTGATATATTGCTTATGATTTATTAACGCTTGCCTGAGGATTCAGAAAGCAAAGTCACTCAGCCTGGACACATGGGTCCCGATGATATGACAGATTCTGGAGATCCCCCATGGAGAGCCTCACCCTCCCGGGGAGCCGAGTGGGGTTTGGGTGGGGGCCTGGGGGTGTTGGGGCGGGGGAGGAGGGGGAGGTTAAGGATCTGGGATTGATATTTGAAGCAAGCACAGCATATCAAGTTGCAGTAAGACTAAGTACCTACTGCACGATGTTGTGATAACACTACCCAAGGTAACCAGATATGAGGAATAGGGTCCCAACAACCTGAAGAAGAGTCAGAGTCAGCCCCTGCTCGCACTGTTAGTCCCACAAAGACACCAAGCTACATAACTGTAACTAGGGCAGTCCAATGCAGGCTCTCTGGTTGTCAGTGTCTGTGAGCCCCTTTGAGCCCAGGCTAGTTGATTCTGTGGGTTTTCTTGTAGTGTCCTTGACCCCTCTGACTCCTTGCCTCTTCTGCAGGATCCCCTGAGCTCTGCCTAATGTTTGGCTGTGAGTCTCTGCATCTGTTTCCATCAGTTGCTGGATGAAAGCTTCTTGGATGACAACTGGGCTAGACACCAATCATGTTTGTCTTTCTGGGTCTGGGGTTACCTCACATAGAATGATTTTTTTTCTAGTTCCATCCATTTGCCTTTAAATTTCATGATGTCAATGTTTTTAACAGCTCTATTGTGTAAATGTACTACATTTTCTTTATCCATTCTTTGGTTGAGGGGCATCTAGTTGAGCAAGTGTCCTTGTGGTATGATAGAGTATCTTTTGGGTGTACCCATGAGTGATATAGCTGTGTCTTAAAGTAGATTGATTCCCAGTTTTCTGAGAAACCCCTGTATTTACTCCCAAAGTGGCTGTACAAGTTTGCACTCCCACCAGCAATGGAGGAGTATTCTGCTTGCTCCATATCCTCTCCAGCATGAACTGTCACTTGTGTTTTTGATCTTAGCCATTCTGATAGGTATAAGATGTAATCTTAGAGTGGTTTTGATTTGAATTTCCCTGATGGAGAGGGTGTTGAACATTTCTTTAAGTGTTCTCGGCCATTTGAGATTCTTCTGTTGAGAATTCTGTGTTTATATCTGAACCCTATTTTTAAATTGGATTAGCTCATTTAATGATGTTGGTGTGAAGACAAATGAAAATAGATCCATATATATTGATCTACACAAAATTCAAGTCCAAGTGGATCAAAAACCTCAACATAAATCCAGTTACACTGAACCTGATAGAATAGAAAGAGGGAAGTAGCCTTGAACACATTGGCACAGTAGACAACTTCCTGAATAGCACAGACATTGAGATGAACAATTAATAAATGGAACCTCATGAAACTGAAACGTTTCTATAAGCAAAGGACATAGTCAATAGGACAAAATGGCAGTCGACAGAATGGGAAAAGATCTTCACCAATCCCACATCTGCCAGAGGGCTAATTTTCAAAATACATAAAAAACTCAAGAAACTAGACATTAAAAAACTAATTGCAATTTTTTTAAAGCAGTAAGTTAAGTTGGTTTTTTGCTTGTCATGTAGGTGTTTATTTACAGCAGCAATTTATCGTTAGCTGTGTTAGCGAAGGAAGTATCTTCCTCTCCTCTTTCTGTTTCATGCTGGCCAAATACTTTTTAAAAATGGTATTATCTGGCTGGAGAGGTGGCTGAGTGGCTCAAAGCACTTGTTGCTCTTGCAAATGACCCAGGATTGATTCCCAGAACCCACATGGTGGTTCACAAGCATCTGTAACTCCAGTTCCAGGGTATCCAGTACCCTCCTCTGACCTCTTTGGGCACCAAGCACACATGTGGTACATATAATATGTGCAGACAAAACACTCATATGTAAAATGAATAAATCTAATAAAATTTAAAAGATAATTCCATCATCTGTCTGTCATCTTTTTTTGTCATGATTTTTCTCAGGATCATGGTGGCAGCAAAGATAGATTATTATGTGCATTTTTACTGTTGATCTTTCCCCAAATCTATCTTAAAGCATTTTTTATGCTTTTATTGTTTTATGAGGCCTGGGATAAAGAAGGCATACATGTTAGTCTGAACTAGGGTAACACATTAATACTTTTTAATGTTTCTTGTTACCTATCACTGCAGATATTTAGTATTAGTATTAAAGTACACAGAAATTTTATAATTTCCCCCGTGCTGAGCAATGAATTTGGTAAAATGCTAACAGTTCACGGAAGGTGTTCTGTGCCAGGCCACAACTGTCACATTCTGGTTTTTCAACTTAATCAAAAACAAAGACATTGTGACTAGTCCCTCTGCTTTTACTTTTGAATAAGCCCCAAGAATAAGAAGTCAAACACATTTATTGAGCCTTGTAAATCAGTGATATTAAAAGCAACGCCATCTATTACCATTCAAGGTGTTGGGAGGATGGGATTCAGCTGAAGTTCTTGCCTCTGCCTGTATGGTTCTGGGTTAAAATCCTTGAAGTTGTTAAAAATGAACTTCCCCAATGGTGCTCATCCATGCAGCATTGCTCCTACACACTAAATGCCTTGAACCGAACATTCCTGGATTCATGTTTTTGCTATGGTATAAGATAAGCTAAAGCCGATTAAAATTTCCTGTTTGCCTCTTTACAAAATGCAGCTGTCTATGCTATTTAAATAAAATTTGCTCATATGATGACATAATGCTGGGTGAAAACTGGCTTTAGTTTTGGCACTACTGCTTCTGGGTGTGTGATACTCTGGTTTTCCCGAGGCACTGCATTTTCATATTCAGTGGGTCTCACACTTCCTCACTAACAGTGGGGATAACACCTACATGGGAGGGAGTGACAATAAGTTAATGAGGAACAAATTCTGGCATGCCTCTCTGCTTGGTACAATACTGTGCAAATTTAAACAGCACTTCTACAAATAGTGTTTCAGTTCATTAAAAAGGTGCCTACCGGGCTGAAGTATTTAGTGAGGGCAAAGCACTTCTTTGAACAAACAGCAGCCATGGAGACTCATGCTCTCTGCCTCTCACACAGATCAGAAGGAAGGCACTTAGATCTTTCGTGCACACTTCTGGCTTGGAGATGGTTAAGATTTTGGCCCAATATAGATTCTAATCTTTTCAAAGCCCCCACTGACTCGTTTCCTGATCTCCAAGTTCAGTGTAAGCGAGCTGCTGCATCTGACTGCTCATCTTGTGAGGTTACTGCATTTGGGAGGTTGTTGACATGTGTCTGCCTAAACAGTTGCGTCTCTCAAGGGTGCCGGCAATTTTTTCTTCGAAAATTTTAATTTTCTGTGACGTCAAGGGTCTCAGGCATCTTAATGGATGTTATTCCTGGCCTCTCAGAAGGCAATCCCTCCAAGCTTTCCTTGTCTGTTCTGGGTTTGGATGTCTGACACTGAAGAGATTTAACACTCAACGTCAGTGACAGCTCTTTGGAGGACAAACAGACTCAAAGCCATTCTCAAGGATTCTTCTTTTATTTCTAAAACATCTTTTGACCACTGGAAAGGCTGCTGAACTTGCCTTTTGTTTCTTTCAGTGTGTTCACAGAAGAACTGGACAGGGAAAGGGTATCACAGCCCTAGCTTTTTCTTTTCTTTCTTCTTTTCCTTCTACTTGAAAGACTCCTTTGTTCCACTTCCAGTTTCTGGTCTGGAGAAAGTTACAAAAGATCAAGGGGGAAAGAAAAGACTGGTTACTTCTGTGTTCTCAGCCTGGCAGGCTGTGGCTACACAGGCATTTACAGATTGGGAAAAGCAGATACCAGCCTTATTCCTGTAGCCTAATGGCTTTATCGTGACTACATTAGTGTTGCCAGTGAGTTCTCATGTCAACTGGGAGTGAAGGTTTCACTTGACTTGAGCTGACGCTAGAAACACACAATCCCACAGTTGGCTGGCAGCTGTGGTTGGGTTTAATTAGAGTAAGTGGAAAATGGATCAGCTGTTTTCACTTCTTTTGCTACACAATCTCCAACCTGCTTTTTTATTTATGGAATGTTTTCTCTGGGAGATAAAACTGCAAATCAAGTGAAATGAAGTGAGATGAGGTACGTAGATGCTCAGATTTTATTTATTTATTGATATTGCTTAGTTTTAGGGTTCTTAAGTCTTTTGGTCTTAATTAAAAACTACTCTTTTTCATTTTAATTAATTAACTTATTATGAGGGGGCACACATGTGCCACAGTGTGCACATGAAGACTAGGGGACAGCTTTGGGAGTCACTTTTCTCCTTCTGCCTTGATTACAAATGATTATAGCTTGACCTCCTTGGCTACTTCTGTATTATACAGTCCAGGCTCTGACTGCTTTTGTAGCTGCATGTTGATAAGTATCCCAAACGTAGAAACTAAAATACAGGATCAAGGTGTTCAGTCTGCAAATAACTCTAGTTAAGAGAAAGGACAAGGCAAGTGGGAGACTAGTAGCTAGTAGCTAGGGAAAGCTATTACTGAAGTATTTCACTAATATTCTATGTGAGGTATAATAACTTACTAATATAAATAATACTGGCTTTAATTTAACCCTACAATTCCACATTACACATAGTAAAATTACAAAGTGAGTAGTTTAGATTCATTTACGTTTTTGGTTTGTTTTTAGCTGTTTCCAGAGTGGGTGATTGGTCTTAGGTAAAAGAATGAGCACAATGAGATCAAGAGATTTAGGTCAAGAGATCAGGTGTTCAGCTTTGACAAGATGACTCTAAGTGTCCATGGTCCATTGACTAGACCTGTTCAATGAGAATCTGACATGGCTTTCATTTATTGATGATAAGCCTCTGTTAGATAGGTGAAGGAATCCGTGGGGGGATGATAATGAAGACTCTGGCAAAGAATGAAGCTAGTTAGAAGGGTGGGACTAGGATGAACAGTGAGTGATCTAGAACTCTGAAGAATCTAAACACTGCATTTAATGGTAAACTCTAGGAAAAATACCCTTAAGAAAAAGGAAAGAAGTATTAGATACATCGGCTAACACAAATGCCCAACTGACTTTAAAGACAGTGTCAGCTTGATCCTTTGAAGTGTGAGGATTTCCTGAAGGAGGGGATCATGATGCTCCCCACTTGGGACTTTTGACTCTCAGTACTTCTCAGTAAGAGAAGCCATCACACCGCACGAAGGTTAACACAGATCATTTTTACCAGGGGTGCCAAGTCCCGTGTTTAGTGTTTATAGATACTTTCCTAGAAGAAAGAGAAGTAATTTAAGAGAATGTGGGATCTGGTTCTAATTCCTCAGTTCAATTTTGAGAGTTTATCATGTTATGACCCACTTCTATAAATATGTATGAGGGCACCTCATACAAAGTTTGTACTTTCTGCAAAGTGGAAATCACAATTTCTGACCCATTTTATGGTTAATATTTTGATAGTATTGTCCTCAAACTGGGTGGTAATTATCAATTATCTTAGGCTGCAAGATTGGCTTCTCATTTATTTATTTTTAAAACATTTTTAGTATTTCATGCATCCCTTTTATCTTGCAAATATTTTCTAGTTTCTGACCATCAACCAAATCTGAGTCAACATGAACAGGCCACAAAGAGGGGAAAAGTTTGGTCCCAAAATTCCATGTTTTGCAAGATACTGAAATACCAACTTGCCATAATCTCTGGTGCATTAAAAAAAGAAAAACTAATTAATTTTCATCTGAAAGCCTTGAAGTAAAATGTCTGTTTTTACAGGTGAGAAAGGCCCTCCCCTGTAAGGCATTTATAGAAGGCCTAGAGAAAAGTAGGTGATTCAGTTTACTTTATCAGTGCAGACAAATGATTGATCTAGTGTCAGGAGATGAGAACATCGCATGTGTTCCTCTTCCTCCTAATGAAGTAATCTCGGGGCTGGGTTTTCTTTCTTTTTTTACATTTGTTTTGCTTTGTTGTCATTCCTGACAACTGCTTTGCTTTGCAATTCCAACTCATCTTCCATGACTTCATTCCTTATGCACATCATAGATGATCAGTTAACCAACACTCATTCATTACTATAGTGATGCAACTACCTCCTTCCCCTGAAAAGGATATTGATGATGCTTGTTACAGGTAATTAGCAATCAGCTTGTGTTTCATATTTACCAAGCCATTTGACAGTTTTCCATTATTATATTAACATGCCAGAGGCTAGTTCCTTTATATATAAAAAATGGAGATATATTTAGCTCACAATTTGGGAGTGCAAGGCCATGGTACTGGCCCTGGTAAAGCTTCATGGGAGATGGCATCATGCTGGCATGATGCACTTTAGAAGCAATGGTCACATGACAAAACAGGAAGACATAGTGTGACTCAGAGGTCAGCCATGTTTCTTGTAGTAAGTTCATGTTACTAATTCACTCCACAAACTCCAAATAAATCTTTCAAGGACACAATCCCAAATGCCCCAAGTTCTGCCATCATTTCTTTAGCATCATCATATTGTTGGATATGTTTTTCAAAACACGAACCTTATTGAATATGCTCAAGCTGTGTCTCGACTATAGTATTAAAGGTTAGAGGCAAATAGCTCAATGGTTAAGAAATCTTGCAGAGGTTTCGAGTTCAGTTCCCAGATACCAAGTAGCTCAGAACTGCCTCTGACTCCTCCTCTAGGGGATCTAATCCCCTCGCCCTCCAGGGCAGCTGAATACACACACACACACACACACACACACACACACACACACACACACACACACAGAGAGAGAAACAAAAATAAAGTAAGCAAACAAGAGTCAGAAAGTTTTTCCCCAAGTCTGTTTATGACTGTTGTATTTTCTATGTAATATATAGATCATTAAATAGTACGAAAGCTGAAGAAATATAAATACAAAAAGAAAAAGTCCTATTTTTATGTTAATTAATAAATTTTCGGGTAGAATCTATAAAAGAGAGTACTGTGTAATAAAGCACAAGGAAGACACCATAAAATTAGGAGATATCAAAATATACAGAGCAGTTTATCACCATGTTTCTCACAGCTGACCCTACCTTCTTGTTCCATTAAAAAAAAAAAAGAAAGGAAAAGAAAATTGGAGGCCAGTGGTGATTCTTTATGTGGGAAAGCAGCAGAGTAGAAAGACTCTGGAAGGGATGCCCTGCTACCAAGATGGACTAATGCATTCACAAGGAAGTGATGATGCAAAAATAAGTTTTCTAGATGTACGTTTATAATTTTCCTCACTTTCCCTCTTTGTGAACCGACTCATTCCCAGGCTTCATTGCATCTGCTCATGGGAATTTTGTTCTGAATTGCCAGAGAGTTCAGGACTGGACTTCTCTTAATATCAGCAGGGCTCACTATACTCATGCATACTGTGACTAAGATCCTGAGAACTTCACTTAGCCACGTGTTTGAGGCATTAATATTTGTTAAAGGACAATAGCATTAGTTTCTGGGTTTGAATCCTGTTTCTATTTCTGACTGACACCTCACTGTCACACAACTTTTAATGGTGAAACTTACAATAATAATGATGCTGGCTTCTTAGGCTAAGAAGATCAACTGTTCATTAAAAAAAAAGTGTAGCAACCAGTTATATAGCAGAAATGACAGGTAGGGTATTTTTGTTTTTCTTTTAAAGTATTTTTTAAGGAATTCTATTTCCTCAGTGACTTAATATAATGCTGGACTCTGGAAATTGTTGGATGAAAGAGGTTGAACTTTGTGCCCCTTCTGGAGGTAGCTAAGGCAAATTGGCGAGGACCCAGGAACAATAGGATCCTGTAATTAGATTACACGGTGGCCAGAGGTCAAAATGCAGAAGCAAGCAGAACTTTCAGTCAAGGGTCAATGATCAAGCACAGGCTGAGTTCAGTGCTATTCTCTGGGAAGCCTCCGAGTAATCCTAGGAGAAAAGCAGAATGCTGGAGACCACGAGCCCTGCTCCTGAATCACAGCTGGCCAGAACGGCTCTGTTATCTGCAGCTTACTCTGCACAGCTTGGAGAATGAGCCTCTAAAGCCGAAATCACATCTGTCACTCCTGTCTTCAAACCCCTAGAGAGGCTTAGGCTCCAAACTTCGAGCAAAGGGCCCAGGAATCTTTGCAGTTATCAGAGCCCTCACTGACTCTCCTCCAGTTACCACTGGCCCTCTTGGTACTCTTTTAAAAAATTATTATTATTATTATTATTATAGTTTTGCAATTATTTATTCAAGGGCATGCTACATGTGTGGAGGTTGCAGGACAACTCATGGGAATGAGTTTTCTCTTTCTCCATGTGGGTTCTGGAAGTCAAACTCAGATTGTTAGCCTTGGTTGTGGGTGCCTTTCCCCAACTTGGTCATCTCTCTAACTCCTTATTCTCTCTTCCTTTCTCTTTATGTAAAGATTTATTTTATGGGTGTGGGTGTTTTTGTCTGCATGTATGTCTGTGCACCATGTACGCAGTCCCTGTGGAGGTGGGAGGAGGTCATTGGATCCCTTGGAGCTGGAGTTACTGACGGTTGTGAGCTGCCATGTGGGTTCTGGGAACTGTATTGGGTACTGGGTCTTCTGCAAGAGTAGCAACCAGTCTTAAGGGCTGAGCCATCTTCTGCCCTCTCACTGGTATTTAAAGAAAAAGAGACTTTTACCTTCCTGTCCTGTGTTTCTAGAAGGTCATAACGCCCATAGCTACTTGCCCTTGTCTTAAACTCTTGGTGCCAATCTCACTTCCCCAGTAAAGACCACCTCAGTCCCCACCCACCTCCATTCTCTGCTCAGCTTTCTCCTCTTTTTTATGATATGTGAATTGGTAATTTAGTTTTCTTATCTGCCTATTTGCTAGACAGTAAGTTTTCCGAGGGCAAAGAACCTTAACTATTTTGTTCATTAGTGTGTCTAGGAGTCCGAGACAGTTCTTGGCACATGAATTCATTGAATGACAGAAGGAACAAATGAGCTGAAGAACCAGGATCAGCCCGGACCAAAGACAGCCCGAAGCATTTGTGGCCACTTGTTGAGCACTTGGCAACGGAGGGCAATGAACTGTTCACAACAGCACAGCTTCCGACTTCAGCTAGATTGGCAGTCTCTTCTTTTCCTAAGTTATAGTATTTTCCCAGTGCTTATTGCCTTAGACTTG